AAATCAGCGGAGAAATCTCTACCCTTCTTCCAGATCATGAGGAAGACGGCTGGCTTTCTATGGACTCCGGAATGCCAGGGGGCCTTCGACGAACTCAAGCGATATCTATCTTCACCCCCTGTGCTCTCAAAACCAAAGGTAGGGGAGACCCTCTATCTCTACCTTGGGGTCAGCCCGGCGGCCATCAGCTCTGTACTCATCCGGGAGGAAGACGGCATCCAACATGCCATCTTCTACGTTAGCAAGACCCTAAGGGAGGCCGAGCTTAGGTACTCTCCTGTGGAAAAAACGGTGTTAGCCATCGTTTGGACCGTAAAAAAGTTGGGCCACTACTTTCAGGCTCACCCGGTTCAGGTCCTCACTCATCAACCCCTCGGTGCCCTCATGAGGAGCCCCACCAGCTCCTCCCGCATGGTGAAATGGGCTATCTTCTTGAGCCAGTACAACATTGACATCCGTCCGAGGCCTGCCATCAAGGGCCAAGCCCTGGCGGACTTTGTGACGGAGTGTACCGCAAGGGCAGCCACGGACGGGGAGCCCTCGGCTACCTCGGACGACTGGTGGACCCTCTACACCGACGGCTCCTCCGCGACCAAAGCATGTGGGGGAGGGGTAGTCCTCATTACTCCCGAGGGCTTCAGAGCCTACTATGCAATCCGCTTTTCCTTCAAAGTCTCCAACAACGAGGCCGAATATGAGGCTCTCCTATGTGGCCTTCGGCTGGCTGCCAACATGAGGGCTCGGCAGATCCACATCAAATGCGACTCCAAGTTGGTCGTTGGCCAAATCTCCGAGGAATATGAGGCCAAGGAGGGAAGAATGAAACAGTACAAGGAAGCGGCCAAGGAGTTGCTTAAGGTATTTGAGGCACACTCTCTCACTCAAATACTGAGGGCTCAGAACTCCGAGGCCGACATATTATCTAAGCTCTCGGCCGACTCCCCCGAGCACATCTCCAAAATTGCCAAAATTGAGGAACTCAGCCTCTCAAGTATCCATGCGAGCCCCGTTATGAACATACAACAATGCCAAGAGGATTGGATCTCAGATATCACCGCCTTCATCTCCACAGGGCAGCTACCCGAGAATGAGACCCGCGCTAAACTGGCAAAGCTGAGGGCTCCTAGCTACACCATCGAAGATGGAAGGCTCTACAAACGATCTTACAATGGCACGCTACTTCGATGCCTTCATCAAGATGAGGTCGAGGTCGCAATGGAGGAAGTGCACAGTGGCACTTGCTCAGCTCACCAGGGACCCTTCTCCATGTCCCGAAGGCTCATTCTCCAGGGCCACTTCTGGCCAACCATGGCCAGAGATTGTGTTGACCTTGCCCGGAGGTGCACCGCATGTCAACATTTCCAGAAAGCCCCCGACATGCCAGCGGTCAACTATGCCCCCATCAGCACATATGTCCCTTTTTCTCGATGGGGGATAGACCTTGTGGGCCCTCTGCCGAGGGATACCTCCAACAACAGGTACATCATTGTGGCCATCGACTACTTTACCAAGTGGGTGGAGGCTGAGCCCCTCGCCAGTATCACAGAGGCGAAGTGCCGTCATTTTGTCCTCAAGAACATCCTCACAAGGTTTGGCGTCCCCCAGCAGATCATCTCCGACAATGGGACACAATTTGAGGCAGCCCCCTTCTGTGCCCTTCTGGAGGCATGGGGCATCAAACACACCTTCTCCTCCGTTGCCTACCATCAAGGCAACGGGCAAGTAGAGAATGCCAACCGGACCTTGCTCGAGGGCCTCAAAAAGAAGCTGGAGGCCGAGGGCGGTGGCTGGGTGGAAGAACTCCACAACATCCTGTGGGCCTACCGCACCACCCCTCGGCGAGCAACAGGTGAAACACCCTTCTCCCTCTGCTACGGTTTTGAAGCCAAAGCTCCTACGGAAGTCACCCTTCCCACTCGAAGGGTGATCCAATATGACCCCGAGGTCAACGACAGTAACATGGCCCTCGACCTCCACCTCATTTCAGAACGCCGGGAGCAGGCCTTCATCCGGGCAGAAAATTACCGAAGGCAAGTCAAAAGCTACATCAACGCCAAAGTTCGCACTAGAGAATTCCAAGTGGGGGACTATGTCCTCAGGAGGAGGGAAGCCAGCCAACCAACCGAGGGAGGAAAAATGGCACCAAAATTCGAAGGCCCCTACATCATAGCAGCCATCATCAAACCTGGGATTTACAAGCTCAAACGCCCCAACGGGAAAGAGGTCCTTAGGCACTGGAATGTACACCATTTAGTTAAATTTTACCAATAATGTAAGAGCGGTCAAGCCCTCATAACTAATGAATGTACTATCCTATGGCCCAAGGCCTCCACTTTTGAAGAATGAAGACACATTCAAGACACCACGCCCTCATACTGACTACAGGCCCCAGGCCTCACCACAAGAAGAACCCCCTCCGGCACCAAGTGCCGAGGGCGGACACAATCAACACCTACAACAACAGGAGAACACCATGTGTTCTCGAACAAGACCCCTCGGTACCAAGTACCGAGGGTGGGAACTCCCGTCACCAACGACAAGGAACGCCATGTGTTTTATTTCCCTTCGGCACCCAGTGACGAGGGTACATCCCCACCTTCAACATCAAAAAAGAAAAGATAAGAACACCAAGTGTCTCATTTGAAGACCCTTCGGTACCAAGTACCGAGGGTAGACACCTCCATCAACTGCAACAAAAGAGAACACCAAGTGTTCCTACAGAAGACCCCTCGGTACCAAGTACCGGGGGCTACACATCGAAACTAACACCAAGTGTTGTTTCTAAAAGCCGTACCCCACGAGGACGCATATACCGAAGGCGCCACCATCGGTACCGGCGGCACGTAGTGCCCCCGGCCATTTGCAACTAGTGTGCAAATGAAAACCCTTCCTGGAAACGCTTTCCGCGTCACTACCCCCAGGGTATGACAGGCATGAGAAATGCCCAGGATTCGACTTTCAAAAACGGAACGCTATCCGCGTCATTACCCCAAGGGTATGACAGGCACGAGAAATGCCCAGGATTCGACTTCCAAACCGAAACGCTCCCCGCGCCACCACCCCAAGGGTGTGGCAGGCCACGGACTATGTCTAGCGCCGAGGGGACGACTTTCAAAAATGAGGCGCTTTCCGCGCCATCCCCCAAGGGGAGGCAGGTTACAGACCACCATATCTTGTGCCCAGGAAACGACCCTCGATCCCCTCGGAACTCGGAAGGTTAACCCGAGGGAGGAGAGCCATTGGTGTATTCTGATGGTCTCCTAATAGGCCCAGCCTTACCAAGAAACCAAGTTTCTTGATGCCTTCCCTTCACCACCAACCAAAAAAAAAGGGGGGGGGGGGGGGGGGGTGAAGGGGAGTAGACTCGGCGAGAAATCAAAGAGTACACTCCAACAGATCACAACATGCCGAGGGCTCCCCACGGGAACACCTCCGGTAATTGAAGACTCCTATTTCCCGAATGATACTACTCAAACAAATAACATCAAGAAACGGCTAAGTCCACTGCCTGGTCACCTCCGGTCACACAAGCACCGAAGGCTTCAACAATACAAAGGGACTGGACTATCCAAGATCCACTAAACGGCACTTCAAACAAATACCGAAGGCATCTGTTATGCACTAATACCGAGGGCCCCTACCCCATTACAAGGGACACAACTGGCTAAGTCAGACTCTACAACCTTTCAAAGTGTATGCCGAGGGCACACACTCCTCATTGGCTTTCTTCACTACAACAGGATTCCACACTTTTCCTAAGTCCACACTTTTGGAAAATGACAGCAACCGGAGGTTAATATGTCACCAGACAACCAAAGGCATCTATTACAAATCATCAAAGGCCAACCGAGGGGGCTTATCCCAAAATATCTGCCCCCGGACAGGCTCCTCACTGACCGAAGGTTCAACATCTACAGCACACTTTGAGATTTTCCTAAGGCCCACATATTTGGCCCTCGGTCGAATACTCATACAACACAAGGGCCTCACGATCACCCGAGGGGTCCTATTCATATACCCGGAGGGATCTACATCCGGAAGCTCGACATCAATTTACGCTTAGAAAATATTCTAAGTCCTAAATGAGTAGCCCCGGGGCATCTCGCAAGAGCGTTGCAGAGTCAGAGGGCACCTATCACTCGAAGGCGACATAAGGAAGCAGCACTTGGAAAAAATTCTAAATCCTAAAGATTTGGCCCCCGGCCCAATCAATATTACAACTAAGAGAATATGACAGCCGAAGGCTTTGCTATACAACAGCACTTAGAAAATTTTCTAAGTCCTACATGTTTTTCCCCCGGCCAACTACTCATACATCAAGAAGGGGTGCCATCTCCCGAAGGCTCTCAAGGGAAAATCTACACTTAGAAAATTTTCTAAGTCCTACATGTTTTTCCCCCGGTCAACTACTCATACATCAAGAAGGGATGCCATCTCCCGAAGGCTCCCAAGGGAAAATCTGCACTTAGAAATCTTTCTAAGTCCTACATATTTCACCCTCAACTTGTAAAGGGACCCAATAGCCGAAGGTTACCTATCAATCAAAGGCTACAGTACACAAGGAATCAACACTGAGGAACATTTCAGTTGGGGCTCCACAGTGGCCGAAGGCTACATGACATGCTACACTTACAAAAAAATTCTAAGTCCTGTACATTGGGCCCTCGGTCCAATATTCACACATCAGGAAGGAGGCTGCCAGCCGAGGGCATCCTAGGGCAAAACTACACCTAGAAATTTTTCTAAGTCCTAGGAATTGGGTTACTACAAACACCCGAAGGCCCTATGGTGTGCTACACTTAGGAAAATTTTCTAAGTCCTAATTATTGCTGAACCCTCGGTTGCATATCCAGCAGAGGGTGCCCAACTACCGAAGGCTTCCAAGGGCAAGCTACAATCAGAAAATATTCTAAGTCCTAAAACATACATTCAAAGGAGCAGAGGCATACATCCAAAACAAGACGAAGGCATATATTTGACAATGAACAAATCAAAAGGAAGCATATGATATATCAAAGGCCCGAGGGCGTATGTACTCATTCATTCAAAAAAAAAGAGGAAGTTTAATTGTACTTTACAAAGGAGGCCGAGGCCAACAATTACAACAAAAAAGGGGGAATACAATTCAAGAAGGGGGGACTGTGGATATTGCCTCGCTCTCAGTTTCATCCTCTTCACCCCCAAGGCCGCACTCCCGGAGGGTCTCCGAGTCTTCAAGAACTGGCCTCTCTTCCCCCTCGGGGAGCGGGATCCTGATGTCTGGCTGGCGAGGGGGGAGGCCATAAGCCTCTGGACGGAACTCCTCCGGTGCCACCTGAAAGTGCTTCGCAAGCTTCCGGTAGATAAGGCGTTGGGTGAAGAACTCCCCGCCTTGATAGTACGAGTCGCCCCTCTCAGCAAGCCACATCTTTCCGGGGCCTCCGACCCACTCATCCACTGAAGCCCCCACCACCGAAGCAAGCCACTCCCTCCGGTCTACGGCCTTCCACCCCTCGGCTGTGAAGCTGGTCACCGCATCCTCTCGGGCCTTGGAGACGGCCTCTTCTTGAGCCGCGCGGGCTTCATCAGCAGCAATGCGGGCGGCCTCGGCAGCGGCCTCCCCGGCCCTGGCCAGTCCCTCATTAACCCCTTCGGCCCTTGCAGCCTGCACCCTCTGCTCCATGCCGTCGGTGGCCAGACGAAGAGAGTCCTCGGCTTCAGCAAGCTTCTTCCTGAGGAGGGTGGCCTCCCCCTCGGCTACACCCTTGGCCCATAAAGCTCTGCAATTCACGAAGACAAGAATAAGGCACAACGAACATAGTACAGAAGGAAAACACAACAATGAACAAAGAAGGGGGGGTGACTTACGGAGGCAGCATTCAGGAGGACCTTCGCCTCAAGGGATCCCTCGTCCAACCGGGCAAGGGCTAGTCGGTCGGTCGGCCGACGGCAGCATCTAGCTCATTAGAGCCGAAGGGTTCAGACTGCCCTCCAACACGGAGGCTCCCTTCGGTACTAACGCCTCCAACCTCTCCCGCCCAAAGAACTCCTGATTGATTTGTTCCTGGGGGGTGGAGGCAGAGGCGTGCCCTTCGTCAACGATCACCACCACATCGGTGATCGGCTGTTTGGTAGGAGCGTTAGTCTTCGGCTTCTTGGCCGGGGGCTCGGTCCCCTTGCCGGCGTTCTTCTTTTTCACGGGCCCGGCACCCTTGGACCCTCCGGCGCCAACGGCGGCGACAGCAGTTTGAGAGGGCCCCTCCCTGGCAGAAGCGCCCGACGGGGCCTTCTTCTTCCCTTTCGCGTTCTTCAGAGCGAAGAGGGAACCGACGTCCATATTGTTACCTGCAAGCAATAAAAAAAACACAAGAGGGTTAGATCGAAGGCTACCAGTTACTACGTCATAAAAGATGGGAAATAAGAGAGAACTATCAACGCATCAGTGAACCACTCGGTGATCACCTTCAGCTCCTTCGAAGACTCGATCGAGGGGAGGGTATCTTTCATCCGAAGAGCCCCTCGGCCTGAACTGCCGGAAGCCCAGGCTAAGCAGTTCCTCTGGGAGGGTGACGTCTCTGATCTTGACGTGCTTGTCAGACCCCTCCGGCTTCTTGGCAAGCACTTTGCCATTCTTCTCCAGAGCTGCGTTCTCCACCTTAGAATGGCGCTGGAAGCTATTGCGGAGCTGGGCCGGGAAGGGGTTCTCCTCGAGGCGAATGTAGCAGAACCTCTCCTTCCACCCCTTGTGGGACGAGGGCACATCATCAAAAAGCCGGAACTCCGGTACCTGCTGAAGGTTGGCAAAGCCCTCAGCATTTGAATGTCCCCCCCGGCAGAGGTTGAAGGACATGAAGAATTGATCAAGTGTGGGCTCAACCCCCCGGCTCTGACCCAAGGAGAGGAAGCCGGCCACATAGGAGTGGCTGTTGGGCGTTAGCTGGCAGGGGGCCAACCCCACAAACCTCAGATACTCCAAGAGAAAAGGATGAAGTGGAAACCGAAGCCCCATCTCCACCGAGAGGGTGTGAGCAGCAAAACACCCTTCGGGCGCATATCGCAGCAAATCATCCGCCCTGGGCTCCACCACGCGCGCCGAAGGGCCAACCAGCATCTGAGTGGACTGGTATTCTGCCGGGGACGCCCTCGTCTTCAGCTCTAGAGCGGCAGTGTTCAGGAACGAATGGCCTTCGGGTATGCCCACCGGTCGCCCAGCATCAACTGCCGCTTGCTTCTTCCTCGGGGCCGCCTTCATCTTGTTTTTCTTCCCGGGAGCCACACTGATGGGCGTCGGGTCCAATGGCCGGGAGGAGCTGGCTTCCCCGGCACCCCGGGGGGGAGGAATGGCAACCGTCACCTTCAGCCTCTCCCTCTCCTCTTCTTGCTCGGCGGTTTGCACGGCGAGGGCAAGCTCTTCGTCCTCGTTTTCTTGTTCGAAGCCCTCGGCTTCGACTTCGGCCTGGAGGTCCTTCTCCACTTCCATGGCCACTGCGGCATCACCACCCGCCGATGACTCCACGCTCGAGGACTCCACATCTGAGCATGTCTCCATCTCGACCGAAGGCTCCCCCGAGATATCCTGGGAGTCGCTCTGTGATGACATCTGCTCACTAATTCGAAGGCTCGGGAAAACTAAGGTTTCCTAGAAAATTCTATCTCCTAACCTAAGGGCACAAGGCACAGCTAAACTAGAAGGAGAAAGGCAGGGGGAACTGACCTTGAGAACAGAGGATTCAACCGAGGGCAAGTTTCTCTCTCTAGAAATTTTTTGCCAGAGCTTCGCTACACTGAGTTCGCACAGCGGGGAATGGCTATGGCCTTGGGGTATTTATAGGCGCTGGAATCCGGGCTTGGGTCTGGATTCCGGGCCTCCGGATGGACCGCCATCATTACACACCGCGTCTTCGCCCAACCAGTGATGCCGCCCACGGACAGCCAACCATCACACGCCACGTGTACCCCCCCCCCCCCCCAACGGCTATATCCTGACGGTACGTATTCCAACGGCTATATTCCCAACGGCTACATTCTGGGAGCCCCCGGACCTTTTTTACTTCACTCCACTTCACCAAGGAGAGCCTCCGGGTACACTTACCCAGAGACGCCCCCGGTTTATGCCCCACACGGCTTCATATCAGGGCACCCCTCGGGGATTCCCACTCAGCACTGTAAAACCGGATAGCCCCCGGGGAGTTGCCTCATTGACGGATAGCCTATGGCACACAGGTAATGGGGAGCCCTCAGGTATCTTCATCACCAACTAATCAACAAACAGTGGACCCCCCGGTAACAACTCCATTGCTGCCCTCATCCATCAGGCCCTTGATCCCCAGATTGAGGGGCTCCCCTTCGGAGCCCCCAGGACATCAATAGCAAGCCTTCGGCCAATCAACACATGAGCACTCAGAAGAAGAAGAGCCTTCGGCATTACCGTTATTCTCCATTTTTGACCAAGGTTTCGCATTTTCGATTCATCATTGGGGGAATTTGGTGCACTCTCTTTCCCTCACTAGGATTTTTTCCCACAGGGTTTTTCCTAATGAGGTTTTTAACGAGGCATCCCCCCAAAATGAAACGAAAAGCATCAGCCTTCGGCCCACAACAGCAACGCAACTACTCTACTCCTTTTCACCACTTTACAAGTGCCTCAAGGAGTGGGGGACTGGAGAACCCCCTCGGGAAAATCATTAAATTACAAAATGGGTGAAAAATTCCAACAAAACGGCAAAGCGAGCCCTCAAGTCCCGACATGTGGGTAACTGAGGGACTGCCTTCGGCAGGGGCGTGAAAGCAACAACTCCTCACCAACTTCAGAGGTTACGACAGGACAACATCAAAGGGCAAGCACAAATTACTCCTTTTCCCTCAAGTACCTTTCGGCAAAAGGAGTGAGGGACTCCTGATGGAGTATATGGCCCGGGAACCCCCGGCCCACAGACTCCCACTACTCCAGTAAAGGCCCAACAGGCCCAGAAGGCCCAACAGGCCCAAATCATGGCGCCCGGAGTACCAAGCAGCCCACAGCGCACCAAGGGTGCCTTCGACCCCCTGGCCGAAGGCTCTAAACTCTCACAGGACGGGTTTCTCAAGCAAACCAAGAGACTGGGAGAAAACGGCGAGAACAGTAGCCCTCGGCATCAGGGGCCCTCGGCACCGGGGTGCCCTCGGTTTGAGAAGCCCTCGGCTACTGCTCTACAGCCGAAGGCATCTCACTCGACAAGATCTCCTCTTCACGCGCGTACAGATCACCGTACCCTGTGCAACGTCCCATCCAACAGCCGCATTAAATGTGGCCACATGCGTTTGCCAGCGCCAACCGGATGAGGTGACCTCTCGGCCAATGGATGCTTGACACGTGTCCCTGTCCGGCATTTATTGCTACTATAAATAGCCCCCCATTTCCCCATTTGTAACCACGACATTCAGACGGAATACACTCTCTCTCTTGCTCACTTTTGCTCTGACTTCTCTCTAAGTTATTCTCAGCAATAACCCCTCGGATATATACCCCCCGGGTAGACTATCCATCAGGAATATTTTATGGTGTCCAATCTAATTAAATATCTTTGTATTTGTGTAGTTATTAGTTAAATGTGTAATATGGGCCACAAATGTATTTCAGTCCATTAGCCCACTTGTAAGCCTTAAGTTAGACATCCTTATGTATAAAAGGATGCTAACTTAAGCAAACCCTAACTCTCACAAGCCTCACACACATTAACGCACATATCATTTTTAGTGAGAAGGGAAAAAAACGCCGTTCATACCCTATTTTGTATTTCGACATCTTTATTGGTATTGAATCGGATCATCGTTTCTTCTGTACTCGTTATATTGTTTGTATGATTGTTGATTGATATTGGGACTAACACACATAATATGTTTTAGTTTCTAATTTTTTCTACTTTTCATAGTAAAAATGTGTTGATAAAATCAATGAGATGAGTTCTTTTTAGAAACACCTAAAAAGAATTAATCCAAACACTTCGAACTTGTAAGTTTGAAGAAAGCAATAATAATTCTGAGAATGTCTGTTGCCTATTATTGCTCTGCCACTTTACTCATACCCTTAGCAGTTATCTTCAAAATTTACTCTAAAATAAAGTGTATGCTCTGCCACTTTATTAAAACAGAGAATGCTCTACCCTTAAGATTTAGCCCTAGGATTCATTTTACAAAAAACATCTACAATGGGGCTTTTAATTGTTACCTTCCCTTATTCACTGCTATTTATGTTCATTTATTGTTTCCTATGATGAACACTTTGAGGATTTAACAAAGGTGGGCATCTTATTATTTAAAAAAGGGAAAAGGGACAAATAAGCCCACGTACTAACCAAAAAAAGTCAAATAAACCCTTATATAGGAGGCTCTGTCCGGCCATAGCCATTTGGGAAAGTTCCCGGTGGAATTTTTTGATGAAATTTTTTGACAATCTTATTCATTAAGTCTAGTTTACGCATACCAAATTGCAGCTAACAATTCAATTGGAAAGGCATTCAAATACATTTTTGAAGATAACTGCGCAGTTATCTTCAAGAATTCATTTGAATGTCTTGCCCATTGAAGTTTTAGCTGAAATTTGGTATGAGTAAACTAAACTTAATGAATAATATGCTCAAAAAATTGCATAAAAATTTCCACCGGAAACCGCCCCAAATGGCGATGGACGGACATAGCCTCCTATATAAGGGCTTGTTTGAACTTTTTTGGTTAGTACGTGGTCTTATTTGCCCCTTTTCTCTTTAAAAAAAGTATTCTTAGTTCATGCCTACAAAGTGTTCGATAAAAAACATCAAATGTAATTTATAACATTTTATGCATATATCTCAGCAAAAAATGACATTTCAGACTTACAGAGCCGTTCATGACTAATGGAAAATAAACTTCAAAATTTCATTGAAATAATTTTATAAATGATTTGTTATAATTTTATAAAGAATTAGAATTTCTGGAAAAACAAAAATTTAAAAGAAAGATGAGAAATGCTAGGATTGTTAGTGAATGAATGACTTGATTTTGAAACAGTGGTTAATGCATTTTGTCGAACAGGTTATGAGCGAACATGAAATGCTTGTTTTGTCTTTCCACAATCAATAGTTTGGATCTACTGCTTCTACAATATATCCTTGTTTTCGTTTTGCAGTAAGTGATATAGATCAAACAATGAAAAATGCAATGATCTTATACGAAGTAGATGAAATAAATATTGATATGTGGTGTGCAGGCACAAACTGGGATATTACACCTAGATTCGAAGTTCCTATATATCAGTTGAAATGGGCAATTGCAGTTTCTTTCATTTGTTTCCCAACTCCATTTGAAGTCCCAGTTTAAATACATAATTTCAACTCTACGAAGCAAATTAGTAATTGCAGAAGTATTTTCATGGCAAGCAAATTCAGAGATGCGAAAGTACCTTGGAGAATCGGAAATCTAGCACGGCAAAAGAGGAGGAGATGCATGTCGTAGGTGTAATATATAGGAATTAGGAACTCTAAATTCAAGGTCTTAGCGGTTGAAGAGATGAGGGAATCGACGCTTTGGCGATTAAAGAAATGTCTGGACGGTAAGGAAGACGTTAGGGATTTTAGATGTGGATCGTGAAGATAACGTTAACGTTAGGGGCTTAACGGAAAAAAGACCATGTAAACGTTAGTTGGCTTTTATTATATAAGCAAAGATAATACTACTATTATCTTTTTGAGCCTTCATTTTTGGAGGCCCCCGGTCATATTCTAGTATACTACTGAACAAACTAGATTGATAATATGAATGCATCTCATACTAGAAAATTAGAGTTATTCTTGGTGTATGCAAAAAAATGTAAATTTGTTGTACACTAACTTTTGTACATAGACAATTCTTCAATAACTTTACCACCTGCCTGTGTACATGAAAAATGTACACTTTTTATGTACAACTAGTTTTCTTATAAAATTATCAGTGTGAAAACATTTTCGCCTTCACTAAATCTTGGAAATACATGAAATGTGTGTGCATGCACCATATAAACATTTTCGCTTTCAATAAATCTTGGAAATACATGAAATGTGTGTGCATGCAACATATAGTGTATAGAACACACACATTTGATCACCAAATTAGTTGAGGTAACCGGATGAGGCAGAGTAACATGTTTATCTCATTGGATCATTTTGATGTAATGGAATGAGACTCATTAAAGGAACAAATAAAATGAAAAAATACCCCATTTTGTTGGACATTGGGTACTTTGATTTGAGTGTGAAATAATAAAAGTAAAAACTGTTTGATTGAAATTTGTGCAAAGCATAAAGAAATAAGGAAAATCTTAAATTCATTACTTTAAAAGAAAATTGGTAAAACTTTTGAGACAGATAAAAAGAAAGTCCAATGGAACGAGGGAATATGATTCACTAACCGCAAAGTTTTTTCAATCAATCCAACAAAAAATTGCATTGATTCAAAATCGTTTTTCTATGGTGCTTTCCGGACGTAGGCGGGCCCGCGCATTGAATTTTGTGGCCCCATGTTTTCGGGCAGTCAAGGTGTGACTCCCATGCAGCCTCTCAATCATTCATATTTACCACGTTTTTCGCAGGCTCCAACTCTGTTATCATCTCTAGCATCTCAACTTGTTTTCTCTACACCGAATGTCAATAATTTTGTTACTACTCGATTATCTGCGGTTGAGGACTATTTGCCATGGCGGACACAGTTTGAGTCCTTTCTAGTATCCCACAGCCTCTTAGGGATAGTAGATGGGTCCATTCAACCGTCATCTAATCTGCCAGATTATTCGCACTGACTGAAAATTGATCAAACGGTGCGTTCGTGGCTTTTTGCTACTCTTGCTAGAGATGTTTTAATGGAAGTTTATGATCTTAAACATTCTCAATTAATTTGGGACCGTCTACAACAACGATTTATGCATGTCTGCTTTTCACGATCCATAGAACTTAAACGTTTATTATCTCATGTGAAAAAGGACAATCAGACTATGGATGAATATTTGTTAGAGATTAAACTCATGGCTGATTCTCTAGCTGTTATCAATTCTCCAGTTAGCAATAAAGATTTAATTGAATTTGCTATTCTTGGTTGGGGATGTGGGTATGAGTCTCTTATCACGGCCATATCCTACTTCCCGGGGAATGTTACACTGGAGAATTTGAGACCTCTTCTTCAAACACAAGAGCAACGGAACAATCTTTTGGAGAATCAGGACTCGACACCAGTGCACCAAGCGTTTTACTGCCGATAACCCTACTGCCCCAGCAGCCTCGGGTCGAGGGGGTGCAGACGACTCAGGTCGCGGAGGGGTAGCGCGTGGTGGACGCGGAAATCGAGGTGGCCGAGGACGCGGCAACCACGGTCGTGGTGGCCGTGGTTATCCACAGTATTATGCTCCACCACCCGGCGTGCAGCAGCCTCCATATCCGCAGGGACAGCGGCCTCCACGTGGTCCTGCAATATATCGGGGTGACCCAGGTTCGGTATTGTGTAATATCATGTTTGGTAGTAATTATTCTGATTATTTTCCTTCTACTGCTACTCACGGTTTTAGTGCAGGTTTTCCATCCGTGGACAATTCCTATCAATCTCCTCCTCCTTCGGTTGTCTGTGAATTGTGTTTTTCTCCAGGTCATTCTGCTCTTCAATGTTCCCGTTTCATTGGTTCTAGTACCCCTGCTCTTGCTGCCCTTCCCACGGGTGAAACACATGATTCAGTCTGGTATCCTGATTCTGGGGCTTCCGCTCACATGACTCCTTGTGAAGGTATTTTTTCTTATAAAACTCCTTACACTGGCCCGAATCAAGTATGTGTTGCTAATGGTACAAATTTGCCCATATATCATGTTGGTAACTTAAAGCTAGTCACTAATGGTCGTCCGCTTTATCTTAACTTGGTTTATCATGTCCCACACATTAAATACCATTTACTATCGGTTCAGAAATTGTGTGCGGATAATGCCTGTCAAGTGATTTTTAATAAGAATTCTTTTTCTGTAAAGGACAATCACACGGGGGAGCTTCTTCTTGAGGCACCTAATAAAGACCATGTGCTCTTTTTCTGTAAAGGACAATCTCACTGTAATATCCCTTACCAACACCTGTATTAATCGCTTACCAACACCTATTTTGAAGGGGCTTTCACCCTATGAAAAACTTTTTAATAAACCTCCTGACTATCATTTTTTATGTGTATTTGGTTGCTCATGTTTTCCTAATTTTATTGCGTCCTCTCACAATAAGCTCTCTCCACGCTCCACACATTGTGTTTTTATTGGATACGCTCCAGGATACAAGGGTTATCGTTGTTTATCTCCTGCAACTGGTCATGTGTATGTTAGTAGGGATGTTGCTTTTCATGAAAATGTGTTTCCTTATCCCATGCTAACTTCCTCACCCTCTCCTGCCGATACCCCTCTTCCTATATCCTGGATATCTTCTTCGGTCTGCATGCCTTCTGACACTCCTGCACCAACGGCAATCACGTCAGCTACCTTGCTCCCACCTCCACAAACTACCTCCCCACTGCCTGAGCCATCATCACCGCCCACGCCTGATACACTACCTCTCTCCAGCCAATCTGCCACCCCTCTTTCCCCACATTTTGTCATCCCCTCTCCGTCACCAGACCCACCATCACTTCCCTCCTCACCCGAACAATCCCCTAACTCACCAGCACCCCTTAATGTTCATCCTATGCGAACTAGAGTCAAAGATGGCATTTTTAAACCCAAGCATATTTTTAATTTATGTGTTTTCTCTCCCCCAGATGATCCTACTTGTTTCACACATGCTAAAAAGAGTGATATTTGGCGGCCTGCCATGGCTGATGAATTTAATGCTTTAATTGCTAACAAAACTTGGGATTTAGTACCTTGGGATCCTACTAAAAATGTGGTTGGTTGTAAGTGGATTTATCAAACAAAGTATTTTTCTGATGGGTCTGTGGAGCGGCATAAAGCTCGGTTAGTGGCTCAGGGGTTCAAACAACAGGCTGATATTGATTTCACTGAAACATTTATTCCTGTAGTTAAACTCACTACTGTTCGTCTTTTGTTATCTATTGTTGTCTCTCTTGGTTGGTCTGTTCGCCAGCTTGATGTTAAAAATGCTTTTCTACATGATTTTCTTACTGAGGAAGTTTACATGCGTCAACCTCAGGGTTTCATCCATCCTTCTTTTCCTCATCATGTTTGTCGCCTTCGTAAGGCACTATATGGTTTAAAACAGGCTCCACGAGCCTGGTTTCATCATTTCAGTGGGTTTCTTTTGAGTCGAGGTTTTACCCAAAGTAAGTCTGATTCATCCATGTTTATTTATCGTTCTCACTCACAAGTTGTGTATATTCTTTTATATGTGGATTATATCTTGTGTTAGGAAATTGATGTAACGTACCTCGAAAGTACAGCAGCGGAAGTTTAAAATTTACCCAAACAGATCTTCCCTGATTATGACAAAACAACGAATATGATAATAATAACAAATCTGAGTTAGTACTTACAGATCTTCCAGCCTAGCGGTGATAATCCTTGACCTTAGGTATCCACGTGATTTCTCCTCTCCGAAAGAACGATTAGATCTCCCTTAGAGAAAGGCTAGGAAATCTCTTCGCATGGGAAATAAACTAGTAATACTGAATCTATAAAAATGGTCTCAAATTATGAAGGAGAATGGTGTATTTATACTAGTTCTAAACTAGTTTCACAATCACAATGAAAGTCTTCCTAATTAATGAGTTCTAGTCCTAATAGGACCAATACCCCTTATTAATTAAATAAGTAGATTAAACAAAATAATATAATAATAACAATAACATTAGAGAGGTGGCTGCACGCCACTCTCTACTTGTTATAAGTATTATTATTTATTTCATATTATTTTAATTCCAAATCATAAAAGAAAATACCAACTTTATTTAATAATAAATACACCTTAATTAGGTATAATAAATGTAATTTATCATACTTTATTAATTCTATCAAATAGAACTCTCCTTCAACTTCATGAATTAAATATGTTTAATCTAATTAATATTTAATCCATTCTGAGTATTACTAATTAAATATTATTTAATCTAATTAATAATATTTATTTCCTTCTAACAGTTCAAATCGGAAGGTATAATCACTTGTTGTGTGACCCATAGGGCCTTATATATTAAGCACTAATCAAATTAAGGTCTTAGTAGAATCCCTAGACAATTTACGAGACAAACTTAATATATAAGGATGTTTGCTAGGACCATTCAAACTCCCTATAATATAGAGCTCATAGTGATATGGTCCTTTCATTCAACGAACATTCAACTGAGTCTAGAACATGATATTGTGTCTATTCCAATAACTTAGTTTCTGACTCTCAATCTTTCTAGATGATCCATAACGATCATATTCAATATCCAAAACGAATATATCCTTGCATTGGCCAATGACTTTATGATCCATCTAGATATGAGAAGTAGAATGTTCTCTCTTAATCTATCATGAAGAATGAATCCTTTCTTGGCTCAACTACTACTCCATGTGCTTCGTGATGCACCCAACACATGCCGTATCTACCCCGATTGGAGTGCAAGCGTTTGTCATGGTCAAAGTACATCACTCCACACGTGTAGTACGTATTGACCTCGAGTCGGAGGACTGTTACACTACTCTATACGCCGATAATCC